TTTTGGGGATTTTGGGGTCTCACCGTCGGTGCCTGCCCCCCCCCACGGCCGGGGGGGCTCCGGAAGGTTCCGGTGCCGGGGGTGGGGGAGGGGCCCCCGGGTCCTTCTGGCTGCGGAGCTGGGGGTGGGGGAGGGGCGGTCAGGACCCCCCCGGGAGCCGATTCGGGGACCCCCAAAATGGGGAGGGGTCCTGGGGGGGGAATTTGGGGATTTTGGGGGGAATTTGGGTGGAAATTTGGAGATTCTGGGGGGGAATTTGGGGATTTTGGGTGGAAATTTGGAGATTTTGGGGGGAATTTGGGGAGGATTTTTGGAATTTTGGGGGGAATTTGGGGATTTTGGGGGGAATTTTGGGGGGAATTTGGGGATTTTGGGGGGAATTTGGGGATTTTGGGGGGGAATTTGGGGATTTTTGGGGAGGATTTGGGGTTTTTGGGGGGATTCAGGGATTCTGGGTTGGATTTTTTGGGTTTTGGGGAGGGTTTTGTGGATTTTTGGGTGGGATTTTGTGGATTTTGGGTGGATTTGGGGGAGGTTTTTGGGAGGATTTTGTGGAGTTTTTTGTGGATTATTTTTTGGGTGGAATTCAATCGATTTTGGGTGTATTTTGGGTGGGATTTTGCGTATTTTGAGGAGGATTTTGGGTGTTTTTTGGGTGGGATTTTGTGTATTTTGGGGAGGTTTTGTGGATTGTTTTTTGGGTGGGGTTTAGCGGATTTTGGGTGTTTTTTGGGTGGGATTTTGTGTATTTTGGGGAGGTTTTTGGGGGTCTCACGTGGTGCTGGCGCCGCTGCAGCTCCTCCAGCAGGGGCAGGGTCTCCTCGTCCGCCAGGTCACAGGGACGCTGCCCCTGGGGGACCCCAAAATGTCCCAAAATCCTTCCCAAAACACCCCAAAATGCCCCAAAACACCCCAAAACACCCCAAAATACCCCAAAATGCCCCAAAATCATTCCCAAAACACCCCACAATGCCCCAAAATCCTTCCCAAAATACCCCAAAATGTCCCAAAATGCCCCAAAATCCTTCCCAAAATGCCCCAAAATACCCCAAAGTCCTTCCCAAAACACCCCAAAACGCCCCAAAATACCCCAAAATGTCCCAAAATCCTTCCCAATTCACCCCAAAACACCCCAAAACACCCCAAAATACCCCAAAATGCCCCAAAATGTCCCAAAATGTCCCCAAATCCTTCCCAAAAACCCAAAATGTCCCAAAATCCACCCAGATCCTTCCCAAATACCCAAAAATGTCCCCAAATCCTTCCCAAATCCCCCCAAAATCCCCCCAAACCCCCCAAATTCAGGTACCACCTTATTTTGGGGGCTCATGTCGCACAGGTGACCCCTGAAACCCCCTGAAACCCCCCAAAACCCCCCCAAACCCCCCCAAATTTTGGATACCACGTTGTTCTGGGGGCTCATGTCGCAGAGGTGACCCCAGGGACCCCCAAAATCCCCCGAAATCCCCCCAAAATCCCCTGAAACCCCCAGATTTTGGGGTACCACGTTCTTCTGGGGGCTCATGTCACACAGGTGACCCCAGGGACCCCCAAAACCCCCTGAAATCCCCCCAAATTTTGGATACCACGTTGTTCCGGGGGCTCATGTCGCACAGGGGACCCCAGGGACCCCCAAAACCCCCTGAAATCCCCCCAAATTTTGGATACCACGGTGTTCCGGGGGCTCATGTCGCACAGGGGACCCCAGGGACCCCCAAAACCCCCTGAAATCCCCCCAAATTTTGGATACCACGGTGTTCCGGGGGCTCATGTCGCACAGGGGACCCCAGGGACCCCCAAAACCCCCTGAAATCCCCCCAAATTTTGGATACCACGGTGTTCCGGGGGCTCATGTCGCACAGGGGACCCCAGGGACCCCCAAAACCCCCTGAAATCCCCCCAAATTTTGGATACCACGGTGTTCCGGGGGCTCATGTCGCACAGGGGACCCCAGGGACCCCCAAAACCCCCTGAAATCCCCCCAAATTTTGGATACCACGGTGTTCCGGGGGCTCATGTCGCACAGGTGACCCCAAGGACCCCCAAAATCCCCCGAAATCCCCCCAAAATCCCCTGAAATGCCCCCAAATTTTGGGGTACCACGTTGTTCTGGGGGCTCATGTCGCACAGGTGACCCCAAAGACCCCCCAAAACCCCCCGAAATCCCCCCCAACCCCCCCACAG